GACCTAAAAGTTTATCACATATTGGATCATTTTCCTCAATAAATAAATGACCAATTCTCATATTTTTCATTTGTTTATTTTTTGGGTAGTGCTGCCACCTCACAGCAAGAAGGGTTCGAGTCCCCGGCCAGATGACCAGGGCCCTTTCTGTGTGGAGTTTGCATGTTCTCCCTGTGGGTTTCCTCCCAAAGTCCATAGACATGCAGTCAGGCTAACTGGACACACTAAATTGCCCCTAAGTGTTTATGTCTGCCCTGTGATGGACTGGCGACCTGTCCAGGGTGTTTCCTGCCTTCCGCCCAATGATTGCTGGGATAGGCTCCAGCTTCGCCCACAACCCCGAGGGATAAGCAGCTTAGAAAATGTGTGTGTTTGTGTGTTTAATTTGGGTCTCTTTATCTACTGTTAGGACTTGTGTGAAAATATGATGAAGTTTTAGGTCAAATTTATGCAGAAAGGGTTCACAGACTTTCAAGCACCACTGCCAGTAGTGAATTCAGCTACTTTAAGATGCACCCACTGCTGTCACAGGCATTACATTGGAGAGACACCTCTGTTTAATCTCCATAGAAAAACACTGCTAATGGAACAGGAGGCTCAGGAGCAGCCGCACATGAGGCTGAGGTCACCATGCTCAATGCTAAGCGTGGGATAGAGGGGGATAACGTGTATATGTGTGTGTGTGTGTAGGAGAAGGCGATGGGGAACAGGCCCAGTGAGATGATGGACAGGGAGAAGGCCTACATCCCCGAATTACAGATCAGCTTCATGGAACACATCGCAATGCCCATCTACAAGTGAGCCTCTTCTCATAGCTCGAGTTAACCGGTTAAAACGTCAGGCTGAAATATGATTTTACAAACAGTACAGTGCAAAAGTCTCAGGCAGCCGTGAACATTGTTTAAACATTGTTTATGATTTATCTCTGATAATGATTCTGACAATGAATGAATACAAATAAATATGAAAACAGTAAAAAAGCAACACAATTTTATTGGGCCTCATTCGTCAAGATATGTTTTTAAAAAGTTACGAATATGTTAGTTAGAAGAACACAGGTTTGGTTCCTGACCAATATCCATCGTCCATCACATGGATTTGTTCAGTTCCATCAGCAGCACCTGATTTAGTTTGACGAAGGATCGATTAGATAAACCAGGTATTGGATGTTAACTGTAAATCCTCGAGGAGAGTTTTGGAAATGGATAAGCAAAAACGCTTATAACACAAATGAAATGTACTGTTTATTTGTATTTATTCTAATATGTGTTTTTAATCAAATGAACTCTTACTGTCCACATAAACAGCTTTATAAAATGATCTCAGACTTTTGCACAGTGCTGTATTTTCAACTACTCAATTGTTTGCTAATTATTTATTGCTGAATTATTTGCTAATATTGACATAAAAATTAAAAAGTGCTCAAATGTTTCATTGCAATAATTTCCACTGATATTATAGATTAGGTCAGCCCCGTCCAAAGTCCGGCCCCAGGGCCAAATGCGGCCCACAGGCAGATTTTAATTGGGCCCCACCTTCTGTTTTATGGTGTATTATAAGTGGCTCACCAGCCAGTATGTTGCAGTTCTTCCTTTCACCTGATGGTGGCAGCTGACCAGACCTGCAGCTTCATTTCCTGAACTATATTTAGTCAAGACTACAGACATAAAGCTCAAACTAAACACTGAGAACTGGCGAGCTTGGGGAGTTGGAAAACTTCTTATCAGAGCAAATTCAGTAGTTCAGTAAATATTAACCCTTTAAGGTTGAACAACAACGTGGCGCTGCGTTTATTTGATATGTAAAGAACGTCACCGAACAAAACCAAAAATCTATAGAATTTTGTTTAGTTTGTCTCACAAAGTATATTTTTCAACAAGTAAACACTTGAATAGGAACATGATTAATACATCAGACATGTTTCTTGTTACTCTTAAACAATTTAGTTGTTTATTATAAGCGCTTATGGATCCAAACTGTTCTGAATGAACAATCCAACAATAAAAGAAGCCTAATGCATTTTTATACAGTGATAGGAAACACAGTAGCTCACAGAAGGCTTGGTTTCTATGCACTGCTCCTTTGAACTTAATATTTTGAATACCCTCGGGTATTTTGACACAGTATGATCTGGCTCTCTTTGAAAAAAGTTTGGATACCCCGGGATTAGGTTATTGGATTTTATATCTGTTAAAATGAATTATTAATAATTAAAAGAAACAGTAAAATGACCTTGCCACACTATACAATTATTGTTATTACATAAAAATGTTTTAAAAAATGTCATGCCACAATAAAGCGCTGAAGTTGTTTTGCTGTATTATAAAAAATTGTGACAAACAATAAAAAATAAAGTGCTGAAATATGTCTTGCCACAATTAAACTGCTGTCTCTTGTTTAAAAGATAACTGAAAACAGCCACAAGTTAGCAGATTTCGTAACTTTTTTAAGAAAGTGCTCAAATTGGCCTCGTTAAATTACAATTGTTATTGATAAAATTGCTATTGAATCAGATTTTGTCACTCTTGTTAAATATGTATATTTTAAAGAAGTGCTCAAATTTGCCTTGGAACAACATACAGATATTAATTCGTAGCAACTGTTAGAAAATAAATAAATAATAAAATAATATTGAAATTACATTATTGTTATTCTTATTAACAAAAAATATTTCTAAAAATGCTGAAATGCTGGTCAATTATTCTCATTATATTAGATTTCAGCATCATTACAATAAGAAAAAAGCACCTTGCCCCTGTATTTATTTAGTATTATACTACAATTCTGTAAAAAGATAAAAAAATAAGAATATTTTTCAAACATTCTTGCTACAATATACTGTTAGCAAATTTGATGATTTTTTAAAAGTGTTGGAATATACAAACATTGCTGCTATTATTATTATTATTATTATTATTATTATTACTATTATGTCATAACTCTTGGCTCTGAATTCTCTCTCCTCTAGGCTACTGCATGAGGTTTTCCCAAGGTCGACTGAGCTTTACGAACGCGTGGCGGCCAATCGCGAGCAGTGGTCCAAAGTCTCACACAAGTTCACGATCCGCGGCCTGCCCAGCAACAACTCCCTGGACTTCCTGGACGAGGAGTACGAGCTGATGCAGGCTCAGGGCGCGTTCGGGGACGACAGCCACCGCATGAACGGCTGCCTGGAGGACGACTGCGGCAAGAGAGACCAGTGACGCCAGAGGTCCTCCTGCTGACCGCTGAGATCAAAAATGGGAAAAAAAAACCAACAAAAAAATTGAAACGTCAACGGTTCCACACCGATGATTCGCTCTAGAAAAAGGTAGAACCTTTTCGCCGTCGCCGTGGAGCGCAGGGCGACGTAGAGTTAAGACACTGGAGCTTGTGGGCGGGACTGATATGCTGCAGCTAATGATGTCATTTCCAGCCATTCAAAGCATTTGTTTGAAAAAAAAAAGACATTTCACTTGCGAGTCCTCGAGTGGTCGGTGTCGTCTCATGTTTTCGTAAAAAAACAAAAACATTTCCGAATGTTCCGTAAACATCGACTTCATTTTGATAGCTGAACAAAGCCTCATGCGTTGTTTAATTTTATATACTGTCCTACTGTAAACGTCATCAGTCGCCTCTAAATATTCACATACAGTGTATAGAAGTGGATTTTAGTTTTTAAAAAAATATATTTATAAATATTAGGACATTTTTTCTTTCTATATAGAGATGTAAGTGTTGCTAGCTAGCTGGTCAGTTTTACATGCAAACAGTTTTTTTTGCAACCACAGTCCAAATTTTAAGACAATCAAACCATAGGAGCCCAAAATATGCCCTCATGATATATTGTCTACATCATAACCAAACAAATTCAGCCATGAATGAAGCTACTTTGATTTAGAAACATAGGCTAGGCTAATATTATTAGCTTAAATTTGCTTATTAGCGTCAACTTTAAATGCATCGTACATTATACATAGAACGAGTATCTTTTTTTGGAAGTGCCACATTTTCGATTCTTTTTATTTATTTGTTTGTTTATTTGTGTGTGCATTTTCATGATAGCTTCAGCTCCTGGGTCAGTTGCAACAAACATCAAAGGTAAGCTGTGAAAAAGTAATCGCCCCCTATTTTTGCATATTTGTCACAATAAACGTTGTGACATGAGAACATGAGGAAACACAAAACTCAGTTTCTGAACGATCATTTCATTTATTGAAGGAAAAACATTTTCACACCTATGTGAAAAAGTAAATGCCCCCCAAACTGCAACCAAACGCGTCCTGTAACTGGAGATCTGTTGCTCCAATTGTTGTGGAGGAATTTTGGCCACAAAATTGCTTTGTTTCAGCCACATCAGAGGGCTTTTGAGCATGAACTGCCCATTTAAGGTCCTGCCAGCAGCATCTCAATAGGGTGGACTTTGATCAGGCCACTCCAAAACCTTCATTCTTTAGATCAAGGAATGATGACCAGACATTCTCCTGCAGGATTTTCTTTTTTTCCATGGTTCTATGTCAAGTCATGGCAAGTCACCCAAGGCAGCAAAGCATCCCAACACCATCACACTACCACCACCATGTTTCACTGTTAGTATGATATTCTTATTGCAGAATGCTGTCTTTATGCCAGATGTGTCTGTCTACCAAAAGCTTTTCAGTCCACAGAACAATATTCCAAAAGGCTTAGGGAACGTCATGGTGTTCTTTGGTTAGCAGTGTTTTTGCTTTGCAGTTCTCCCATGGAAACCATTTCTGCCCAGTCTTTAACAGTCTTGGCATGTCTAATTTAATTGATCCCAAGTAATTGATTCTAAATTGGGTTAATTGGTTGATTAACATTACTTTTTCACATAGGGTTAGTTGGCACTGTATTGTTTTTATCCTAATAAGTGAAATGATCGTTTGATCTGAAACAATTAAGAATGAGAAATATGCAAAAATAGACGAATTACAGGGAGCAAGTACTTTTTCATGGCACTGTAGACAAACTCCTGCCAATCTGCCCTCAACTGTGCAATCCTGCCCCAATTCAAATAATCCCAAGGCACAAAAAGGCATTTATATGATGAGGTATTGCCTCACAGAAGTGCAAGAGGTTGCAGTTGCATGGAGTTTGAATGATGTCTTAAGATGTCACTTTGTATTGCACTAATGCAATAATGACAATGTGTCGTATGCAATGCAACTATGCATAAACATGCATTATCATGAGCTTGCTTATTTTTTAGCTTACATATTTTTAAAGGGGTATTCTGGCCTAAAACTAGAGTTTAATATGTTATTTGTCATGTTATTGTAGTATTCTGTAGCTCAGCTTCGTTATATCCCCGAGCCAGAATTCATGATTTTATAGTTTTCATGTTTTCCTTCATCAGTGTTCACTCACTACAATACCCAGAGTGCATTACGCAAATATGTCATACAACCATTGGGAATCCCTGTGGTGTCAACCAATCATAATTACTAGCCTAGCCACTAACCTACTAATTACAAACAAAACAGTTTCAGTTTTTCAAAGGCTCCATCTACCTTCAGGATATGTCATCAGAAGGTGGTTTTCCTAGTCCTAGATTTCCTAGAAAATCTAACGCTGACCCAGAAAAGGTTAGAGGTTACTGGGCAGTTGCCAAATTTTATCAGTAAAACATAAGACAGTGAAACATTTTTTAAATTAAACTGTGAATTTGTGGTAATTTGTTACCAGTTTGAAGGTGTGGGTGGAGTTTTCACAGGCCTGATTGTCATGGTTACAAGAAAACTTTAGGTTGGCTCTACATGATGAAACTTTCATGCAACTAGTTGCCTGCAACAAGATTTACATGCAACTTGACTTGAATTGCTTGACTAGCAATTCAAAAACAAAGATGCACACAAATCGCTGTTAGGCTGGCTTTACTCGGCGAACGTTTCATGCAACTAGTTGCATGTTATGATTTGCCTGCAACATAATTCCCGTGCAACTTGACAATTACTTGAAGCAATTCAAACACAATCCAAGTTGGACACATCACTCCAAAGGTTAGGCAGATAAGTAGCTTGTATTTTTTAAAACTGTATCATTCTCACTATAATCTATCATCTATAATCTATCATAAGTGAGCATTGAGTCAACAGGTTTCTTCAAGGTACAAGGAAATGCGAAATGAAATTATTGTCTGTGATATTTGACGGCACAAAGCAGATGCAGGAGAATAAAAGCACTTTAAATACTGCTTGCAGCTGTTGTGAGTTTCAAGTGAGTTGCAGGATGCTTTATGTTATGCAACTCAAGTGCAACTTAGTTCCATGTAGGTTTCAAGCAACTAAAGTTGCATGAAGGTTTCACTGTTTCACCGTGTAAAGCCAACCTATAGAGTGCTTTTTCAAAGTTTATGTGCAGAATTTTGCAACTGCTCATCAGCTGCTATCATAAATGAGTATCAGCTCAACAGGTTTCTTCTTAAATTACTGTCTGTGTTAACCGACAACACAGTGCAGGTGCAGGCTGCAAAACAGTTTAAACACTAGTTAACTCGCCATTGTTATGCAGCGTTTGTTGCGACTGACCCAAAGACAGCAAGCTTAACTCCACTAAGTGTTCGTTTTGGTGTTCCACTCAAAGGCAAACGTGAGACATGGCACCGTAGGAACACCGCAGTATCTGGCAACCAGGCAAGAGGCAGAACCACTATCGTCCGCTGGTTACAGGGAATGTTGCACTGACTTCGCCGAGGCGTTCCGATTATGTGTACATAATGTTTGCAGAGGACTTTTAAGGGCTACGCGGCCCTTTGAGGCATGTGAAGAGGTTTATTTCTCAGGCTGGCAGAATATGTATAAATATGGATTTGCCTTATCAAGTATGTGTTGCCTTCCTGATTGGTTGTAAAGAAGCGAAATATACACTGTATGAAAAATATAAACGTATGTACAGTTCTAAAGCTACATGGATATATCTGCAGTGAGTCCAGACGTGTTTGCACAGGTGTGAAAGTGAATACATTTGCCTAAATACAGGACGCCCAGACAGAGGATGCAGGAGGAGAGGAAAAATCGAGTTTAAGATGGAATTTTGAGTTAGCCAATAATAATTAATTAGGTTTATCATTATTCGCTAATACATTCCCATTATTAATGTCAGAACCTTTAGCAAAAGGTTCGGTTCGCAATTGGTATTAACATCCGTCTCGAGTGACCTTACCAGTAGTGGACAGGCGATTACACCTGCTGAGGTCCGGTGTGTTGGAGTCGCACCGTGCTCTGGTTGGACCACTGAAGATGCATGTTAATGCCTGGTGTAAACGGGGCCTTAGGTACAGGATCAAGTCTGATTTTGGTCAGGTTTGTGTTTAGCTAGGCTATCTGTTTGTGAACAATCTGAAAAATGCCCAAAAAATTTTTTTAAATCAGAATCAGATTCAAATTTCGAAAATTTCCCACTACAAGCTACATTCAGTACTATCAGTGATGGGTGTCCTGCACGACGCTAAACAATCACTTTCTCTCCTCTGCTAACATGGCCATCACCACAGCTTTCCATACACAATGTAACTACTGTATTGCAAAGCCAGAACTCACAAAACCAACCTCCGCACACTGAACACTGCGCAGGTTCTACACCACACATGAGCCATATTCTTCAAACATCACACACTACTCTGAGACTACACTCTTAAAAATAATAGGTTCTATGGAGCGAAGCTGTAAAATAATCATTTATGTTTCTCTAAAGAATAGGCCTGTGCCGGCAGCAGAACCCTCTTATTTCGGTACCCGTGTGGAAACTAATCGCAGTGGTCTAGAAACGCAGTCCACTTGGACAGTGGCCTAGCTTTTGAAATGCAGCTGGTGTCCGTCCCCCCAAGCACATTCAACTAGTGCAGCTCAACAGCTGCATTTCTAAACCTGGACTTTAGGTCATTTCTTCATTTCCACAAAGTGATTATACATTTCTTTCCAGTAATGTTGAGACAGTCCCTAACACTGAAAAGGATGCAGGAGCAAACACAGTGATAATTCCTGTGTAGAAGCTTAATCTTTGTCAAATAAAAGAACATCATGAAAGCGCAGTTCACTAAAAGCTGTGGTTGTTGTATATTGTTCTTTTTTCATTTGGCCTCAGAACTTCAATGGATCTAGTAAGAACAGAATTAAGTATGTCACACAAACTTTACCATTAGTGGATGGTTGCGGCTCTGTGAGAGCTGAGACGTGACAGAGCTTTTCCCAAGACCCAAAGCTGTTTTGTTAGATGTCTGAAACCTGACTCTGTGGTCTGAGTATGTCCTAAATGTATACCGTACCATAGAGGGCGTTTTGAGAAAAGGCACACTGTAGCTGCGTTCCGAAAGCTAGGCTGCAGTTGAGACAGGTGGGTCCTCGGTAGGGCTGTCTGATGAAGCCCCCCCCCCACCCCCCACCCCCCCTTTGGTAATGGTTTACCAAGGCCGCTTTGTAACGTCATCAGAAATGATTTGGGTTAAAAATTAAAGGAGAAAATACTGCTGATGTCAACGATAAGCTGGCAAGCAGAATATTGACATGAATGATGTAACGTGGCAGGCAAAACAATTTGTGCAGGTGGAAAACTTGACCGAAAGCAGGTACATTTCACACCCTGCATTCAAATTACCCCCTCTTAGACTAGCCTCTACTGGCCTCTACTGGCCTTTCTCTCTTAAACTTTCATTTGGGTCAGCTGCGTGTGCAAAGGATTATGGGTGACAGAAGACTGGGTACCTTTCAGTTGTCAGAATGTAGGCTGCTTTTCTTGGGGAATCACAGCCTGGGATGACGCAGCAACTTAGAAACGCAACCCTCTTGACCAGTGGCCTAGCTTTTGGAACACAGCTGGTGCGCGTCCACCCAAGCACGTTCAACTAGTGCAGCTCAACAGCTGCATTCCTAAACCAGTCTATGCTTTTAGGTACTCTAAATGTGGCATTAATGTAGGACAGTGGTCTCCAACCCTGGTCCTGGAGATCTACTATCCAGCAGAGTTAAGGTCCAACCTGCCCCTCCTTACCAAACACTAATCTGATCCAGCCAATTAAGGACTTCCGAAGAAGTTCATTAGCTGGTGCAGGGGTGTAAGATGTTATGTCACTGGAACTGGTTCCTTCTGCAGGAAGGTAGATCTCGAGGACCAGGGTTGGTGACTGATGTAGGATATCCACAGGTTCAGTTATGTTCTCGTGAGGGAACACTAGTGTCTTGCTAGTGTTTGCAATGAATCAATAAATGAACGACAACATTTTAAACTGGTGGTAAATATTCGGTTCCCTGTCACCAGGCGCAGGTCTACTAAAGAACCAGAATGGCTCTTCAAAGAACCACTTTTGTTAGTGAGAAGAACCTTCCAGAATGTAAAGGTTCTACACCAGTTAGAACCTTTATTTTTAAGAGTGTACAAAGACATTCAGTGGACAATCCCAGTCAATGGTGTATTTCAGTAGTTTAGCAGTGACACATTCTAGAACTTTTCACCAGAAGTTGCAACAAACGCAGTGAGTTGCAGAAACTTCTTCAGGAACAGAATCGGTTTCTGGCTTGAGTGCTCATTTTTTCTATTGATTTCTACTGTAATCAATCCAGGTAGCTCTTCGGAAAGAAAAATGTAAATGCTGGCAGTTGACTTGAATCTTTATTGTTTTGATGCTTTCTTATAGTGTTTCCTATCCATTTCTCCATGCTGTATTTTGAACATTAATACAAATATTCTATTGTTTTCTGCCTTCGATCTCTTGTGCAATATGCCGTTCCTGCATTGACCACATTACAATGTGTAAATACCGTGTTTTTAAATTATTACTTTTTACACATACTTTGACGAATCTATTTTCCGGTATTTGTATCTGTAGGTGGCAATCCTGTTTTTTCTTTCTCTCTTTCTTTTTTTTCTTCTGTTATAAACAAACCTTTCTCTTGTGCCAACCCCATAACTACGGAGGACACTTCTTTCTCCTGACCATGACTTTATGACTTTCTGTAAATATGAATTGAAAAAAAAAAATGTTTCTCTATTCTATGTAATTAAAAAGATGAACAGGAAAAAAAAATATTTTATCTATTTAAACGGACAGTATGTAACTACAGTGTTGGTCTTTCTTTACTATCGCTATGGTCATTTTTCTTAGTTTTAGTGACCTGGAGGCCTTTTTGGATTAAGAACTGATTAACATCGTTAAAAAATGTATTAAAAATGAAAAATAAAAAAATAAAAATCTTAAAAATTCATAATAAAATTTTAACCAAGGACTAAAAATGATTTCAAAACATTTCAAGAGGCAGAGTAACTTTTGGCGCCATGCTAATATAAATAAATAAAGAAAGAATAATTTAAATAACTAAATAAATTAAATGGTCAGTAAGTCTTATGACCACTTGATCAATACTTTACACCTAAACAGTCCAAAGAAAATGCAGTAATAATATATCATAATAAAAGATGCAAAGGTTGTGCAAGTTTTGGCACCCCTGGTCAAATGACACTGTTTTGGTGCTTTTATAAGAGAAAACAGCGCCCTCTACGGGGAACATCTGGCAATTTTAATGAACAATCACTGTTTATATGCTGAACTGAACATACTGGAAAAAAATAAAACATAAATCATTGCCTGTGCAAAAATACTGGCACATTTATTCTTCGCCAATATGTTACTCTCAGTAAATAACCAGAAACTGCATTGAAACATGCCATATTTAGGTTTTCCGTAGAGGATAAACTTATTTGACTAACAAAACATGTCACTGTATAAGACGATCAGTTCCAAACTCAGTCTGGACTAAAGTAGGACGGGTAGTTTCGTTTATTTCTGTCTCGTGGTTTTGAGGGTGAAGTGTTGGTTTTCTGGGTGGTTGTGGCCTCAGGTGTCTACTGACCTACAGTACCTGTGTAGATATTGTACAGGTTGGATTGTGTCATTAAATTAATCCTGTCACTGAAAATGGGGAAAGGCCAGTCATGAAAGGAAAAAATATATAATGAAAACAATTGAGGTGACTTTTTATCCAAATAAATTTCTTAAAATGACTCAGTTTGTCTTTTTTTGGTGTTTTCATTCAAGATATGCATGGAAAAGTGGTTTTAAGGCAAAAATAAATACTTTATTTTCAAAATGTCTGAACAAAATAAACGACTTGGATTCAAAACGCAAGCCTGCAGTCACAGGACACTTCGGTATCGGTCTGAAAAAATAAAAAACTTTTGTGTTGCTGTTGGTTGAACAGAGAGCGATGTGAGCAGGAAACTCATTCACTCGGTAAACATTTACAAAATGACCACCTGGATTAGCATTACATGTACCGCATCATGTGGGGGTCCTGTCCACTGAAGAACAGGGTAAAAGGGGGCTAACAAAGTATCAGAGAAACAGATGGACTACAGTCTGTAACTGTAGAACTACAAAGTGCACCTATATAGTAAGTGGAGCTGATAAAATGGACAATGAGCGTAGAAACAAGGAGGCGGACTTAATGAAGTGGCCGGTCGGTATGTATATATTTCACATACAACACACACCTTTAAACATAACAGCAGGTAGTTCAAATGCAAAAATACATGTATGCATGTATAACTTTTCATGATCTGCTTAAATGAAGGCTCTGCTGATTGTGTTTTAAAAGTTTTTCAAGGATTCTTTAATTAAGGTAGTTTCTTCAGCGAAGGTGCTCCCAGCTTGAACTGAGGTGCACCATGAGTGACGAAGTACAGCTATACCATCCATGTTTCACCATCCATAAGACGCTAGCTGTCGGCTTCGGGAACAGTCAGAACACTGAAAACCAACAAACCACCAAATACTGGACTACACAGCAAAGTAAGGCGAACAGTTCGGTTAGAAAAAAGCATCAGCGCGATTTAAACGTGATTAAGCCAAGAAGTCCAGCACATGCAATATTTCTTGCTTCTTTAAAATGATGGTTCTTCAAGGGTTCCTTAGTGAAGAAAATGGTTCTATTCTGAACCAAGAGCACTTTGCATGATTAAATGGTTCTTCAGCTGTAGATGGTTCTCTATAAAACCTTCTTGGAAAGGGTTCTATATAGCACCAGAAAGGGTTCTTCTATTGTTACAAACTTGACATTGTCACAAGAACCATTTTCAAAAGGGTTCTATATAGAACCATATACAAAAGATCATCAATCTAAGGAATGCAAAACACCCTTTCATCATGCAAAGGGTTCTTTGAGTGTTCATGGTTCTATATAGAACCATTTTCTTTACTAAAGAACCCTTGAAGAGCCGTGTTTTAAGAGTGTAGTGTGCCAGACTGCCAGTTCACAAGCTCTGCTTTTGAGGAGACACTGACTCTAAAAAATGTATGATAGCATTAAATCAGCAACTCCTGCAATTTGAAATTTGCACTTTCATATTGCGATTTCAAATGAATTGTTTGATTTAGCCCACCAGAAAGTTGCCCCTAACCCCTGCCCCCTCATCCAAAGAGAGACAATAACATATTTTTTAACTTCTCATTTTATAGATTTTTTATTTTTCGTTTAAGATCATATACGTGAAGTATGTTTACTTTTCAGAAAACATATAATCGTTTTAAAAAACTGATTTTGATTTACAGCCCACCCATCTTCTTTACTTGCATACTGTTTTGTCTTTCTGGCCCACCACAAACATTGCATTTCAGGCCCCCCAGAACAAAAAGTTTGGGCACTGATTTGGGGAAAATATCAAATTGCAATTTACATGCAGTTATTTTCTATAAACTAAACTATATCCAAAACTGCAGCTCTTGCATTTTGAAAACTGCACATTTTCACATCACGATTTCCATATAAAAACAATTTATCGTTCAGTCCTGCGCCGACTGCAGTTACTGTCCACTGCTCAACTTTCACTATTATATGTTTACATTGCAACAAACAGGATGTGAATCGGGCGCATTTTCTTCAGTTGGGTCGAGGCAAACTCGATGAAAATCTAGCAGAAAACGCATTTATTGAGGCACTTCAGGGTTTTACAAAAACAACAAAGGTTCCAACTTCTGGTGTCGGGGCAGCAGTAAGGGTTGAATGATGAATCGTTCTTTAAACGACAATTCGAAAGAGTGCAACTTTAATTATAAATCATGTAACGTTGCCTTAAAGCTTTAAGCAGGAAAGTGACCTTGTGGACTGGCGGTCCGAAACATTCCGTCCAAAAAAATGTGTGTGGCCTTCTTGGCAAAATAAAAGATCTGGAAATTAATTTATAGGAATGAATTGCATTCAAATTGGAATACTGGAAAGAAAAACTGCAATTAGATATTTTCGCTACATTGTTTGTTCCTAGCACCTATAGAGGGCAGCAGCGAGTAAAGATTGTTAATTTGGACTCCAGCTGTGTCTCTCGGCTTGGAAGCAAGACAGCTAATCCAATTTGGCCACTTTAGGCTTACACTTCAACACAACTGAACTGCCTTTCAAAAAAAGGAAAACTGTTAATCGCAATTGTTTAAATGGCAAAAGAAAGGTCAGCTAAAATTTCTTGATTGTGACCGGCCGAACGATGGACGGCAATCTTCCCTCAGCAATTCTACTCAATGACGTTCCAGTGGCTGGACAGTCAAAAGCGAGTTCCTTCCTTCCTATAATTTAATATTAAAAAACAGTCATAAAGTTTAAAGCACCTCCGCTTGGACATCATCACTGCACAGTCAGCGTCCATAAGCCCTTTAGCGCAGCCTATTTAGTGCAGAGAATCAGCAAAGTTTTCACAGCCATAGAAATAATTCTGGGAAATATTTCCTTCCCTTAAAATATAATCAGTCCAAAGATTCATTGCAAAACCAAATTTGTTCTAACCTAATCAGCTCAAGCACAGCAAAGCTAAGAAACCACAGCTGACCACACGACACGTCCTCACTCTACCAAAACGTCAACGTTTAAATGACTTACTGTATCTGATAAGCCATTTCTCAGGGCTACATAACACAACTGGATTCACGTCTTCGACTCTGAGTGCAAAACAGACTCGTCCACCGTTTTTCTTCGTCATCGGTTTGTTAGAAATGTGAACATCAAGGCAAACATTACACAAACACACCACTGCATTGGCCAAACAAAAAAAACTCAACATGTTGAAAATATGGAATGTAATTCTAATGCAACTGCGCAGACAGGTTATGTGCTGTTTTGGTCAAATATGAGGTCCGAACACATGAGAGGACACTGCTAGGCCGGTTCATTTTCAAGTTAATGTCCAAGAACTGTGAAGAAAGAAAATCCATATCACATTTTTTGTGCAGACTGAGGTCGTAATGTGGATCAGGAATGATTTTAAATGGTAACTCCACGGGTTTTCAAAATTTCTGCATTATTAACTGATTAAGATGTGAGTCATTCAGATGATCTGATGCGAAATGTTTGAACCGTTCATAGTGGCGGTGATTGGAACCAATGCTTCTACAAGCCATCCAGAAAGTCATCGAAAATTAAATGAATTGGTTAGAAATATGCCGCCTGATGCTCTAGACATATATAGATATATAAACACACACATTATTATTTACAAAGGTTTTGAGATAAGATTGTGGCCTAAAATGTACCGTTAAACGCATTCAAGGCAAAATAGGAGAAAACTTTCAAATTTTTCAGATTTATCACTACTATCATCAACACACGTACTCACCACACTGGTGGTTTTGTATGGTAAATAAAATATGTTTTTATTATGTAATATATTCATGTTGTAGATGCTACGACTGCTGGTTCCTATCAACACCACTGTAAACAAAGTTGATACGTTTCTCTACAATGAAGCATTTCACATCAAACCACTCTGAGCTGAGTTATGCAGCAATTTTGAAATATTGGTGGAATTCCCCTTTGAGGCAAACTTGACATAGCTCGCCTTAAAGGAAAATTATACTAAAAAAATGTGTGGTCCCACTTTCCCCTCAACAATGTTGAGCCAACATGTTTGGTGTCTGAAGTCTGCTTCTTTAAAAGGCCCGTACCACAGAAAATCAAATTTCGCTCCAGTCCTTATACAGAAACTAAGCTGTGACAACAGCTTGTTTTGTATTTGTCGTTTCTGCGATGT